ACTGAGGTTTAACTTACAAACCTTTTGATTCGCAGCTGTTCAAAAGCCATTTGCACTCCCCAGGCCATCAATACCAGGTTATAAATCTTAATTGACGCCTCCTTCACATAGACGTTTGGGAGGTGCAGTGCATTATGCGTTGGGCTGCCAACCACAAAGTCGACAGTTCAAACCAGCAAACCACAGAAGACAGATGAGGGGCAGTTCTACTCTGTCCTATAGAGTTGCTGTGAGCCAGAATTGACTCAATGGTAATGAGTGAGAAAGCTGTCTTTAAGGTTTATGGCAAACTGACCTGCGAGATAATTGTTCAGTGGTATAGTGACCATAGTGAGCTTCATAGTGGCCATAAAACCAATATCAAACCCACTGCCGTTGAGTTGATTCCAACCCAAAGCAGCCCTATGAGACAGAGTAGAACTGCCTCTTTGGTTTTGTGAGACTTTCAATCTTTATGGGAACAGATAATCTTATTTGTCTCTGGTGTGGCGACTGGTATGTTCAAACCACAGATGTTTCAGTTAGCAGCTAAATGTGTAATGCACTAGGTAGCCAGGTCTCCTTACTGTGGCCAGAGATACTGTTAAATTGTTGGAATACTTTTAACAGTTGATAAAAAACAACTGCTGTTCTGGAGACGACTTTCCAACCCCGCTACCAGGAAGCCTTAATTTCCTGATTAGTCTCCTCAAATTCTAGCAAAGGGCTAATACTGAAGGTGACCTTCTGCCCCTGCTTCAACCTATGGTCCACGTGAGTTCTGATTAGTCTGCATATGCTAATTTTAAATATTTAAAATATAACCCCTGGATCGCCCTTTTCCTAAGTAATTTCTTTGAAAATCAAACGACCTATTTTCTTAGTGTTCTCCTCTCAAAAAGGACTGTGCATTGGAAAGTAGTAGAGGCAATAGGTCTAGAAGCATCATGATTGCATCTCCTTATACAAATTTGAAGCAAATTACTATTATTGGTATTATCAGTTACTCAAAAGGCACTGGTTTTAGTGTATATTTAGGTCTAAATTTCAGGTCTCCGTGGATAAGTGAAATTTTTAATGAGCAATCAGAAAGTTATATGTTGAGACTTTGGTTCTCAGAAGTGAACAAAATCTGTTCTGAGACCTCTGATGACGTGGAAAATTAAGTGAGCTGCCTGTTTGTTAAGGTCTGAAGAACTGACCTTCCACAGGAACACAGGAAAATGAATGATAAACCTCTCCCAACTCTCCCCAAAGGAAACAGCGTTGATATAGGCCATGACTTTCCACACAGAGAATCTGACTGCTCCTAATACTTTCCCCTGATCCTTCACCTTCTCAGACTGTGGAAGGGGCCCCTATTTGGCTCCTATATCAATATGTGTGTGTTACTACATTGTGTTGTAACTATTGGCTTGTTGCCTCCTCTTACTCCTCTTTGTAGTTTCCCAGTGCCTGAGATAGTGCTTGACACATTCTAGGCACTTGGGAAATGTTTTTGAATAAAAGCAAAAAGTGCTAAAGAGTAGTTCCCCTGGAAGATGTTAAGTGTTGTTACTTAGCAACAATCTGCTAAGCATGCAAGACACTGTAGTAGTGAAGTTGGGACCACCCCTTCTCCTATCAAATAGGGCCATGGATTGGAAGGTAGCAAAGGCTGTGGGTCGAGAAGCAGCATGATTATTCCCCGCCACTGTGACTGCTGGTCCTCTAACCCCCTGCAACTGTCCCTGTAAATGCTTTCACTCTGGCTGCCTCCATGTGGTCTAGGACAAAAGATTTCTGTGAGGGGGCTTTTAAAAAATTGTGGAAATTTTTCATTTTCCTGTAATTCCATGTCCACAAAATGTCGTAGCCCCCTCACATACTCAAACACAGTAGAAAAGTGTCATGTGTAATAGCCACCTCTTTGGTATTCATAATGCATTGCTCCCTACTAAGAATCCCAAAATATTCATAAGGGAAACACATAGAGTTAGAGTTGTTCAGTACAGCATTTCATAACTTTGATTTGCCGGTGTGGTTGTTAGGTGCCATTGAGCTGGTTCGGACTCGGTGAACAGGGACAATGGAACTAAATACTGCCCGGCCTGCAGGGTCCACACATGGGGCGGCATGGTCGAGCCCATTGTTTCAGCCACTGGGTCAATTTCATCTAGCTGATCATTTTCCTCTTTTATACTCCCTCTTTAGTTTTCCAAGCATGATATCCATCTCCAGAGACTAGTCCCTCACGATAGCGTGTCCAAATTACAAAAGATGAAGTCTCACCATCCTTCGTTCTAAAGGATTTCTCCCCAGACAGGTTTATTCAGATTTATTCTGACAGTCTGTGGTGTCCAATGTTCCTTTAGCAATATGATAATTCAAAGGGAACGTTTTTCAGTCTTCCTTCGTCATTGTCCAGTTATGACATGCATGAGATTATTAAAAATACTACGACTTGGTTTAGACTTATAAGTCAAAGCTACATCTTTGCCTTTAAAAACATTGATCATTTTATTGAGGGCTCTTACAGATATTATCACATCTATAAGTCTATTGCATCAATTGAACTCGGACAGATGGTGCCATCATCACTTTCAAAACATTTCCTTTCTACTTGAGCCCTTTGATATCAGCTCCTCCTTATTCTCCCTCCCCCACCCCACCACCCTCATGAACCCTTAATAAAATATGTTATTATGCCTCACATCTTTGCCTTTTGACACTTTAAAGAGGTCTTTCGTAGTAGACTAGCCCAATGCAATGTGTTATTAATTTCTTGACTGACTGCAGCTTCTTCCATGGGAATAGATTGTGGATCCATGTGAAATCCTTGACAATATTTTCGCTGTTTATCATGATGCTATTTGTTCAGCTGTGAGGTTTTTGATTTCTTTATGCTGATGTGTAAATCCATACGGAAGGTCGTAGTCTTTGCTCTTCATCAGCAAATCCTTCAAGTTCTTTTCACTTTCAGCAAGCTAGGTTGTGACACCTGCTTATTGAAGATTCCTAATGAGTTTCCTCCAATAGTGGTGTCATGTTTTTCTTCATATGTGGGGGTACCCCCCAAAACTGAGAGAAGCGCTGCTTGGCAGAGCTTTCACAGTACACACATTTCCCGCTAGGCAAGCATCAAGCAACTCTCTCTGAGTTAGTGCACCCAGTGGCATCACCTGGGAATGTTCTGTGTGATCACAGTGAATTTTTTCATAAAAACTGTCTTGCTCAAACCTTATTTTTTTGTGATGGCTGATTTAAGAGACCACCTTGCAACAGTGAAATTTTGTTTCCTACTTGGGAAAAATCCTACAGAAACTGTTGTGATGTTGAACACAGCTTACAAAGACAGCACTATGGGAAAACTCAAAGGTATGAGTGATTTTCTTGTTTCAAAACAGGCGAAATGTCGATTGATGACAAACCTTGTTCTCAACATTGTTTAACTTCCTGAAAATATCGACAAAATTCATGCACTTGGGCTCGAAGACTGACAATGGACCATTAAAGAGATGGGGAAGATATCTGGACTATCTTGGAGCTTGGTTCAGCAAATTTTAGTGAAAGATTTGGGAATGAGAAGAAATTGTGCCTTGGGTCCTGGCTGACTGGCAAAAATCTCATTGAGTGAAAACATGCTGAGTGGAAACATGCTGTGCTTTGAAAGAACAGCTTTGAAGCCACCCAGAATTTCCCCCCGCCAAGGTCATTACTGTTGATGAGACATGATTCTATTCTGATGACCTGGAAAGCAAACATAAATCAAGCCAGTGAAAGGCACCATCATCACCTCACTCAAAAAAAGCTCATCAAGTGAAATCAAAGATCAAGACAATGCTCATTTGTTTGCTCAATGTGAGGGGAAAAGTGGATTTGGAGTTCTCTCCACTAGGTCAGACTGTTAATCAAGCTTTCTATTTAGAGTTTCTAAAAAGATTGCATGACAGTGTTTGACCAAGAAAAAAGGCCCAATTTGTGGCAGACAAGGGACTGGTTTTGCCACCATGACAATGCACCTGCTCACACAGCCATCTCAGCGTGCCTGTTTTGGGCAAAAAATAGCAGGCCTCTCTTGCCCCACTCACCTTACTCACCTGATTTCATTCCAAGCAACTTCTTTTTGTCCCCACTAATGAAGAGGGGCATGAAAGGATAGTGATTTGAGGATGTAGAAGAGGTGAAGGAAAAACACGGGAGGTGTTGTCACCCATCCAAACAGCTGAGTTTGAAAAATGTTTCCAAGAATGAAATAGCAGATTTGACAAATATATTAAGAACAATGGAGAGTACTTTGAAGGTGATCAGGTTGTTTTGTAAAGAAAATTAAATACATAGCTTTGGGGAAAACATCTGGTTCTTTTGGGGTACACCCTCGTGTATTCCAGCTTCTTAGATTATTTGCTTAGTGTACAGATTGAATAAATATGGTGAAAGGATGCAACCCTGGTGCACATTTTTCCTGATTTTAAAGTACACAGTATCTCTGTGTTCTGTACAAACAATAGCCTTTTGCTCTTAGGCAAGTACATATCCTTTCATCTTTCTGCATCACAGATTCTTTGTGTATGAAATGCAAATATAATGCCTTTTCATAGTTTATTGGGAGAATTAAGCAAAATGCAGTGGATGATATGCTTAGTTCAGGGAGCAGCATTTAGGAAATCTCTCTTTCTCACTACCATCAAGTCAATGCTGACTCCTAGCCACCTCCTATGCATTTCTGAGAATGTAACTGTTTATGGGAGTAGAAAGCCCAGTTTTTCTCCTATGGAGCTGCTGGTGGTCTTGAACTGCTGACCATGCAGATCATAGTCCAATGCATAAACACAACGCCACAAGGGATTTAATAAGTAGCATATGTAAATTTCTTAACCTTCTCTCAGATCCCCTCACACTCTATTTATTTTCTCATTCTCCTTTTAAAATAACTTTTAAGCTAATAGGATTTTTTTCCTTTGAGCAAGCATTTACCTGAGAAAATAAGTCCTTATTAAGAGTTAACAGTCATTGTCTCCCTGCTTTTCTTTCTCACACAGGTGGAAATCATCTCTTGGTGGCCTGATTTTTTCTAACCAGTTTCTCCGAATAAAGACTACTGTCCCATCATCTTCTATCTATGGATTTGGTGAACATGAGCATCCATCTTTTAAGCATAACATGAATCATGTTAGATATGGAATGTTTTCCAGAGATCAAGCACCAGTGGTAATATGTGAATACAGACTCAATATTGAAATGTTGTTGAAGGAAAAGAGACCATAAATGATAAGAATGACTTCCTATAAGGCGAATACACATTTATTCTCAGAAATCATCTTGGTTTAAATTTAATCAATCATAAAGTCAAGTGCAAAATTTTTTATCTTCTCATGAGTTTCCACCAGTTTGTCTTTTACCCTCATAATGTAAATTATACTTTTGGGGGGCATGTCATTAATTAGTTAACTGTATCTCATTGAGGGAGGATAATAAATCATCCCAAATCATATTTCTTTCTATTGCAGGAATATAGCAATCTCTATGGAGTTCATCCTTTTTATATGTGCATAGAGAATGATTCTAATGCTCATGGTGTTCTACTTCTGAATTCCAATGCCCAAGGTAATGTGATTATCTGGCTAAATTATAAAGAAGCAAGTGTACAATATAAATGCTAATTTTGTCATTCTTCCTTTTGAAAATGTTATTAATTAGTACAATAAAAACTGAGATCATCTACACTTCAGTATTTTGTTTCAAAATGGAAAATTTTGTGGAGCACCATATAAACTGTCAGTGATGTATTGCAAAATGTTGTTGAGGCACATAGTATTAAAGACACATAACTTGAGAAATCAGAAGCCACCGGATAAGTAATATCTGTTATAAATTTCAGTGTAATTCAATGTCATGTATCTGTCATATCATTTCAGCAACGCCAGCACTGTCAAGGCCATCTGTCTGCGTTGCATTGGTCTAGAAATATTTGAAATGTGTTGCCAGTACAGTAGCTTCCCTTAATTGTGTCTTTTGGGCTAAACTAAAACCAACTCTCTGTGTTTGTGTGTGCGTATATTAAACAGATAATGTACTTGATGGATTCTTTCTTATAGAAAGGAAAAGTGAGTATACAGAATTGGCAAACTCTAACAGATGGTAAGATGTCATGTTCACGCTCAGTAGTGCCCAACCCAACTAATTAGCCTTGGTGACCTAGAAGTAGTAGAACTATGAAAACAGTGATCTCTGCCACAAATGCTACTTGAGCTTATTCTGTGCTTTTTGTTTTGCTCCTCAGATATCACCCTGTTCCCATACCCTTCTATAATGTACCAGACGATTGGAGGAGTACTAGACTTCTATATATTTCTTGGCCCCACTCCTGAAAATGTTGTCCAGCAGTACACAGAGGTGAGTATCGTACCGTCGTTAATGCTCACGTTGTCATGGTCTTGGCTCTGGAGTCAGGGGGTGACTAGTATCTTCATATATTCCCCTCCCTTTAGCTTTTCAATTTCAAGGCTAATTGGTTCTACTTTAAATCGTGACTTCATTTAAATGTTATTACGCAAAGGTTTTAAACCTATATACCTTATCAAAATAGTATATTGAACACTTTGAAGAAAATCCTGGCAGAGATTGTTCAGTATTATACTCAACACTTCGAGGAGAACTTAACCAGAAGTTTCTTGGCACAAAATTACACCTGGCCTTCTAAAAGCATTCGAGATGGAGGTCTCCACACCATCCCACCTCCAAATACAGCCCTACAACTCCGTCCTGCCTTCTCCTGGGCAGCGTGCCCTGTGGCACTTGGCACTTCTAACAGCACTCAACTCCCACTCACTTGGTTGAATGGGGCCCATCTGAATTGGTTTTTTGTTTGTTTGTTTAACAAATAGTTTCATTGGCATACACTTCATATATCATACTATTTAATTGTTCAATCATATTGAGAAGAGTTGTGCAATCATCACCACAATCAGTCTCATACTCATTGTTGGTAGCTCTCTATTTACACAGCCCTCCCGCTCCCCATTCTACCCTGCCATTCCCCTAGGCAGTTATTAATCCAGTTACTTTCTCTATAGATATCTATCTTAGATTTCATAAACAGGAGATCATACAAAACACAGATGCAAAAAACAAAAACCAGCCAACGAAACAAAAAAGAAGAAAAACGACTGGATAATACAAAGAAAAGCCTCAAATAGAAAACAGAAAATATTGAAAACTGAAGCAACTTCAAAAGGAGTCAAAAGGGAGTTCAAATCACAAGGCATTACTTTTTGCCTAACTACACCTGCCACAGTCGACTCTACAATGCTCTCTGTCTGATAGCAAGGCTATTCACATCCCTCAACTATGGTCAGATGTGAGTCACGAGCTTTAATCCATGTGTGCATCCTGCAAGGGGATTTGGGAATTGGACTGTCATTGTTAGCCTTTGCTCATTGGATGTTCACAATTTGATTTCAGATACCATTACCTCCTTTGAAATGGATTTTTATTATTTATAATCCTTGGATCACACAGGCCGGTGTGCTTCTTCAATGTGGACTTAGTTGATGCCTCATTTAGATGGTGGCTTATTTTAATACAAGCCTTTAAGACTCTACATGCTCTTCTTTCATGCACATCATCCAAATTGTCTTCACTGCAATTTGCTGTAGTACCCCTTATCTTCAGTGATCGCTTCATGAGGTTTAGTGTTGAATAGGGCCATGTCATAAGAACTAATTGTTCTTAGATTGGGGCTAGAATTAGTGTAAGCCCAAAATATATTCATATGTCTATGGTTTATATATGTCTCTGGTTCACTTTAGAGACATCATTATCATGGTGTTATGGCAGAGACTGTTATAAATCATTGCCCTCAGGCATAAGGTAATTCTATTGATAGAGTCATTAATTTAGCCAATGGCATAGAATTTAAGACATTATTGAGAAAAGGAAATTATATACGTAGCAGCCCACTTAAAATGCCAATACAAGAATTGCTGACTTGTGCAGATTGAGCTCATAAGTGACTAGACACTATTTTCACAAAGAATGGAGGTTGAAGAAAGGGCAAAACTTTTAATAATGCTCATTCGCAAAGGCAGAACCATGCCTACCAGACTAATACATGCCACCAGAAAGCAAGGATGGCACTGGAATAGTAAATATGTGGTTGTCACAGGAAACTATTCACTGGACTCCCTCAGAGCAAGAGATCCGAACTGAAACAATGACCACCAATTCCATAGCCTAGAGATAGCAGTCTTATGCTTCTTTTCACACTAGTGCATTTCAGCCTTAAGTCCAAGGGAGGATGTTGGTTTTGTAAATGTGCTCTGGGTGAGTTCCAGAGAAAGTCCAATTCACTTAATTGGTTTTCTCATCATATCCTTCTGGTATGATCTGTGAAGGATGTTGTGCACCTTGAAAGAACAGAGTCTAAGTCCCATTAGTCTATATCACATGACCTGGGTCACCAATGACTGGATAGAAACTAAGTCCAATTAAATAGAAGAGTATCCAATGAGGCACATAGTAACAGGCATATTTTCCTCTTTAGTCTGTGTAAGTATTGTTAAAGGTTTTTGTTTTGTTTTGTTTTCTCCAGGTGGGAGGTTGCTCCACTCAGGTTCAGAAGTACAATCATCTTTTCCTAACATACATGCCTCCCAACTCCTATCTTGGCTTAATAGTAAAATTCACTTATTATTTCTGGTAGGAGTATTAATTGATTTGGGATAACCTTAGTAAAATATTGTATAGCAGCAACTGAATGGTCTCTCTCCCCTCATCTTCAGGAAGTACAGCAGCAGTGGTGAGGCCTCCTCTGTGAGTTTTAGTGTACATACAAAGGGAGTGATTTATGGTTCATGGACACTAGGCAGGCTCTTGACCTCATTGCTTGGGAGATTGGACTACAGGATTATATTGCTTGGGAGACTGGACCTAGAAGATTACATGACCTGTGAGCAGAAGCCTGCCTTCATCTTGTGTTTATTTTTTATAGTAGTAGACTCTTACTTTATTTATCCCATTTTGAATCACTAACTTCAGTCAGCATAATGGTTTCCAGGTTCATCCATGTCATGAAGTGTTCCATGATTTCATATCTATTTTCCAGGGATGAATAGTATTCCATTGTGGAGGTATCAGAGTTTCTTTGGGCTATTCCCAGCTTCTTGTATTGTGATCTCTGCTGCAGTGAACATGGGAGAGCTTATGTTTGTTCATCTTCTGTCTCTTGTTTCTTGGGGTGTATACCCAGCAAAGGTATTGCTGGGTCATATAGCATTTATATTCCCTGTTGTTTAAGGTATTGCCATATCACTTTCCACAATGATTTCACATATTTACAAGCCCATCAGCAATATAAGAGTTCTAATTTCTCCATACACTCTGCAACATTTGTTTTCTCTGTTATTTTCTAATTGGACAGTTGTTGTGGATATAAGAGGAGATCATCACTGTTTTGATCTTCATCTCCTGGATGACTGGTGATGATGAGAATTTCCTCATTTGTTGGTTAACCATTCAAATGTCATCCCTTGTGAATTGTCTATTCATGTGCCCTTCCCGCCTTTTAGCTTGGATTATTTGTTTTTGTTCTTATTGATGTATTGCAAAATTCCATAAATTTT